TTTGAACAATTATAATTCTTTTTAATCCCTATGTCAGTTGGAGTTGCAGGTCATCCAAAGAGCCTGAAAAATAAGGACAGACAGGGTTTCCCAAGGACAGACAGGCCCTCCCAAGGACAGACAGGCCCTCCCAAGGACAGACAGGCCCCTCCCAAGGACAGACGGGACATGAGAACTGGCTTATCTATGACAGAGCATGGAGGAGAAGATGCTAGGTATCCTACAAGTGGGGAAGGGTAATTCAGTTAACTTTTTAAATAAATTGCTAAAGGCTGAGTATGGGCCAGTGCAGGAGTATAGAATCCACAGCACCTCAGAAACAAGGGGGCCTTGCACACGCTCATAGGCTCTTCTCCCCAGACCTCCTCCAGGAGCTCATGACAGACACTGGGGGCCAGGTAATAGAACGGAATGAACCTCCCTTGGTGGAGCAGGCCAGAAGGAGTGAAGTAGCAGCTGCTGCAGGAAAACAAGGCACGAAGCCAGACCCAGACCCTTCTCCTCTAAGGAACAGAAGCCTTAAGCCACTAGGGGGAGAAGTAGCAATCCCTAACAACCTAAGGCAGAACCAAAGACCCCTTATGGCTAGAGGATAAGTTTAAAATGCACACACACACACACACAGACACACATGCACACACACAATCACAAAAACCTCTACTCCTGAGAGAGGGGCGGACAAAAATCCTGAGCCCAGGATCCTGTATTAATATCAGTTGAGGTTTCCTCCCACTGAGGGAGGGCCAGGAAACTCTCTTCCGCAAAAAACCTGCAAAAGATAGAAAGCAGAGTTTTGCCGCTGTGGGAAGGATGGGCAGGGTTGCTAAGAGAGCTTCACTCCTGAGACCCAGGGCCTGCCTAAGACTGAAATTGGACAAAGTCAGAAGAGAACACTCACCCTGTCCCCCACCATCAGATTGTAGAAAGTTGGAAAGGGTATTGCTCCCAAACTTACAATAAATAAAGACACTGGATGATAGTCAGATTCATAATTTTCTAGAACTCATCCTAGACCTGAGGTCACAAGGCAAGAAACAAAACTAAAATCTAAACAAAGATAGGCTGGCACCTACTGGGAGAGCCAGGATATGAATATTGTTTACCTGGGAAGACACTATCAAATGCCACTAATAACTCATATAAAAAAATTTAAAATCAATGAAGGCAGAGTGTGGTACAGCAAGAGAATATACAAAATGTGAGGGCTTCAGACATGAGGGGAATTCCTGCCTACTCACAGGTTTTTCTCCACACGACCCTCACCAAGTGAGAGATCTGAGGAGGCCGCCCTCACGGTATGGGCTTGCGGGAGGGGACAGCAGCAGAAAAGGCATGAAACCCCTCCAGGCTCCTTCTCTCCATCTCTGCTAGCGGACAGACATGACCAGGACTAGAGCAAGGCCAGCAAGGCCAGTGCCTCACTCTAGTCCTAGCCCTAAACCAAGGCCTTGAACTCCTGAGGAAAAAGGCAACAAAGTCTGTTCCCTCAGGGCAATGGTGAAGTCTCAGTGCAACTATGAAAAAGGAACAGGAAGGAAAAAAACCTCTACCACTGGAGGGATGGGGAAGGAAGGGCAGGAATACATGCTGGGCCACATCATTAGAGGTTTCCGCCATCTGGTAGTGGAGCAGGATCACTAGAAGAACCCGAGACACTAGGGGACATAGGACTTGCCTAAGACTGAGATTTAATGAGAACAAAAGAGAATGCCTTCTTCCAACCAAAAGTGTAACAATCATCCAGTAAAAAGTAACAACCTATTGGTGGAAGAGGGGGAAGAGCGTAAAGAGACCCTCTGTGAGGTACAGTAAAGACCTAAACATGAGTGTGGAGCACACATTGAGAAGAACTTTGGCAAACCAGCCTTTACCCCAAACACAAAATAATGTGAGAGAAATTTAAAAGCTGTGATGTACTGAGGGTAGCCATAGCAACAAAAGACATCCCAAACCCAACTCAACTCCTGCTAGATTGACTCAAAGCCTCACACCAAAGGCCTAGTAGAAGGAAAGAAGTGAGCATTTCCAGACAAGAGAAAATTTATTTAAGACTAGTGTCTTTCACAAGATGTTCTGGCTTTCAACAAAAATTATTAAGGCATCCAAAAAAGAAGGGAAAAACAATGCCCTGCCAATCAACAGAACCAGGCTAATATATGACACAGATGTCTGAACTGTCAGCCAGGTGATTTAAAATAACTATTATTAATATGTTAAAAGCTCTAGTGGAAAAGATAAATAGCGTGCAAGACTGCATGGGAAATTTCAGCAGAGCTGGACACCATAAGAAAGAATCAAATGTAAATGCTAGAAATGAAAAAGACAGTAACAGAGATGAATAATGCCTTCAATAAGCTTAACTGTAAATCCAGAAGAGCTGAGAAAAAAATCAGGGGACTTAATAGTTCAACAGAAATTACCCAAATGGAAACACAAATGAAAAAAGGATAAAAAGGGGAGAAAAAAGCCCAAATGAACAGAACAGAGCATACTAGTTTTGTAGGGCAATATAGAATGGTCATACACGTATGTAATTGGAATGCCAGAAAGAGAAAGGCTGAGAATGGAACAGAAGAAATATTAAAAAAAAAATAACGGCCCAGAATTTTCCAACATTAACCACAGATAACAAGCCTAGGCCCAAGAAGATCAAAGAACACTAAGTAGGATAAATTACCCCTCCCTCAGGAAAAAAACACTTAGTTATAACATAGTTATAATCAAATTTAAGAAAATTAAAGACGAAAGGAAAATCTTGAAGTAAAGAAAAAAAAAAAAAAAGACCCGAAGATGAAGTTTACAGCAGACTTCTCATCAGGAACCTGGCAAAGCCAACAGATAATGGAGTGAAATTATTAAAAATGAAAGAGAAACACTATCAACTCAGAATTATAAACCCAGCAAAAATATGTACAAACATGAAAGAAAGATAAAGTCATTTTCTGAAAAAAAAAAAAAAAAAGCTGAAAGAATTCATTGACAGAAGACCTGTATTATAAGAAATATTTTAAAAAATCCTTCTGGGAGAAAAAAAGTATTATACCAGATAGAAACTTGTATCTATACAAAGAAATGAAGGGCATTGGGAACACAATAAAAGTAAGCATAGGTAAAGATAGATGAACATAAAATTAATTTTTTCTCATTCTAAATTGCACTGAAAGATGACTGTCTAAAGAAAAATTAGTAACAATGCATTGTGTATTTACAGTGCATGTGAAGTTAAATGTATGATAACAATAGCACAAAGGATAGAAGGGAGTAATTAGAGGTGTACTCTTGTAAAGTCCTTATACTACACGTAAAGCAGTTTAATATCATATCAAGGTAAACCAGACAAGCAGAGAAGCAGAGATATATAAT